CATTCTTCAAGGCAGCAGATGGACTCGTGCCAGCCATATTTCTTATAGTTCCTTTTGTCTTTGAAGCTCTTTGGACCAAATTGTTCCACTGATCATAAATGTCATATCATCCTTTCTCTCACTCTTCCCCTCTCTCTCCATCTCTTTCTCCTTCTGTGCCTTTGTTCTGTAATTGGGTGTGTGTGTGTGTGTGTGTCTGTGTGTGTGTGAGTGTGTGTGTAGCTGTATGTGCGTTAGATCAAATGGTTGTGGCTTTGTTTATCATTTGACTCCTATCTTAAGTGTATACCTCAACTAATGCCACTTCTTCGGTCACTCTCTCGCTCTCTTTCTCCCGTTCTCCCTGTCTGTCTCTCATCCTCTTGTCTTCCTCTTCCCTCTCTGCAGAGACCTCAGTGAAAACCAGATCCAGGCAGTTCCAAGAAAGGCTTTCAGAGGGATCACCGGTGTCAAGAACCTGTAAGCACAATTATTATAATTCTCTTTTTCATCTTCTCCTCTCCACTACCTATCACATGTGTATCGTATATTACTGCATCCGGAAATGTTCATAAATGCCTAAACATTTTTGCATTTTCTCTGGGATTATTACACAATCATGAAGCACAAAATCACATTTAGACATCATCCATTTAATTGCTCCTGTGTTTATATATTCAACTTCATTAAATGTGAACAAAATACAACTTTAATAAAAACAGGATGTTCATAGTTCATATAACATATTGTTTGTGTTTACTATATGCTAGCATCAGATGAGTTTAAGTTAAATCCAGTAAGCTGCATGAATGGATTTCTTTTTGAATCACTTGTACTATAATGAAGTTGCGTATGGTGTTTGAATTTTACTGCATAGCTACAATAAAACAATGTCATTCCTACTTAAAAGAGCTAATAATTAAAAATAGTTATTCCTTAAGGATGGTTCATCACCTCCTTTAACTCTTTGATAACTGGAAAGACTTGATAGAATTTTAGCTGCTTCACCTTTTAGGATCTTCTTTTTCATATTTTTCAGTTTGTAATCTTTTAAATGTTTCTAAAGATGACATCTCAGGACGATAGGCAGGCCACTTGTGCACTCTATCTTTGGCAATGTCTTGCGGATATAAGCAATGGCTTTTCTGTAAATTATGTCATATGCATGTGTGTTTTTATTACTGTAAGAACAGTGTATAGTTTCGTTTGGCACAGATGTGCCAGTCATCCATGCCTTGTGTAATGGCCTGTCACTCTATCAGGGATGCAGGCTAAACTGTGGGCTGATAAAAGGCCAGATTTCCCCTCCGCTTTAGCCTTGTTGATGAATCTCCCATATCTCCACTTCAGCAAGAGTTTAAACTTGTTGATGCATCAACACACTGAATTCCCTGACAGTAGTTTTTAGAAGTCTGCATTTAGTTTCACTATAGAATCAAGTCTGTTTGGAGTGGATTGCCAATCGAGGGTCCCAGGGTACACCTGTTCTGTATTGGTTTTCACACTTTCCCTTGTGTACAGAGTAGGGCTGCCACGATTAGTCGACTAGTCACGATTACGTCGACTATCAAAATTGAACGACGACTGATTTAGATGAGTAGTAGGGTTTAAGAGTGTAATAACAGACTGAAACAGAAGATGGCAGCACTGCATGTACAAGGATGCCAGCTGCCGTTAAACCCCGAAGAAGAAGAAGAAGCTGTCCCAGAATTCATAGCGCAGCCCAGCTCAGTTTCCAACAATGGCGGCAGCTAGTTAGTTTTAATATTACTCTTATTATTCTTTCTGGGTCACAAAATAAACGTTTAACATATTTTCAGGCGAGAATGTAGCTGTGTAAACCTCAAATATCTGCTCAGTTTATCAAGACACCGCATATTTTCAAAAGCGCTCCGACGTTTTCGGAACGTCTGTTACCCACTAGCTCGATAGCTAGCTCACTAGAGCCGTGAGAACACCGGACTCCCGGCAAATCGTTTTCAAACCCACCGCCGTCTTTCGCTACTCGAGTTAAATATATATAAGTCACTTAGATAACTTAAAAATTTTATTGTTTGGCTTTTTTTAGTATTTAATTTGTTCCTGAGTAAATCGGTTTGGCTGAGATTAAAGTTATAGTTTTTGCACAGCTGAATAAACATCAAGCAGACAGCTGATTATCAGAAGTGTGAGATGCTCCAGAATATACTCCAGTGTCCTGTTATATTTTAGATAGCAAGGAGTTTATTAAACTTCACCGAAACAATCTGCAAATTTCATTAAAATTTAATAAACTATCATCTTGTCTTTATTGTTAGTTAGCACAAACCTTAAACACTTAAAGCTGTAAGCTAATGATAGTTATATAAGAGCAGATGCTGCTGGTGCAATAAGCTGCACGGATGCATGATCTGATTAGTCGACTAATCGCAAAAATAATCGGTGACTAGTCGACTATCAAAATAATCGTTTGTGGCAGCCCTAGTACAGAGATTTCTTACAATAATAATAATATTTACCTTAGCTTTAAATCCCCAATTTCTTTGCAATTTTATGTTGAGAAATGCAGTCCAAAGCATTACATTCTACGTATGTGGTTTTTATATTTGAAACAGAATCAGAAACTTGTACCTCCTACTCCGTACACCTGCTACAACCTGCTTCTCTGCTGCCCTTCCTCTCTCCTTCATTCTCTTTTTTTTCTTGCCTGGTCCCATATTCCTTCTTTACTTACTGTTAAATCAGCTTGTCTCCCTTACCACTCTTCCTGTCCACAAAGGTTTTGTCCTCAAATCAAATGCTCAATATCCCCCTGTCAAATATTCACGATCTCCTAATCACCAATAGTGAGATCAATACGCTTCCCAATCAATGCTTCCCATCAATAATAGCTGATCAATGGCGCCTCTAAACTACCAGACAGGCTCTTGTGGAAATGTTCTAAATGAGAAAAGATTCAGGAAAACATTAGATAGAAAAAAAAATAGAAAGTTGGTTCTGCAGGACACTTCAGCTTTATGAAAAACAGGCGACAATAAAAGTTGATGTTGCTGCGGAAATCATTAGATTAGGCCAACAAATCTTCTCTGTGTAAATTGAAGTTTGCTGCCATGTTTCATCACACATCTGACATGACAGAGGAGATGAAGAGAGGAAGAGACGGAAACACATAGCAACACATAATAACTACAAGCTATGAAAAGATAAAAAGCCATTCTTTGGCGATTCTTATTTCGCTACCATAGATGCTGACTGACAGGCGAAAGGAAAAGTGTATTCCTGGGGCTAATGAGATGGAAAGAATTAAATGTAAATAACCACATGTTTTCTCTGCATTTTTCACTTGTGCAAATAGTGCAGGTAAAGTGGGTAAATGAAAAAGATGCAAATGTTTCCGAAACAGATTTTAACTTGAAAGTAATGAACCATAATCGCTTCGGTGATGCAAAGGTGGATCATATTTGATTGCTCGCCAGTTGTATCTCTCATATATATCCTCTGAACTACCGCTAATGAAGATAAGTGAAAACACATCACCACGTGGTTCAATTATTTCATTTCATTCATCTGATGACGGGCGTATTATGGGCTCTAAAGCCCCACAACAGCTGCTAAATGGACCTTGAAGTGAGATTTATTTTCTCCACTGCTGCTGAAATGTCGCGAATGAACTTTGAAGTTCTGTTTTAACTCAACTCAGATAAGATGAACATTAATAGGACAATTACAGATGAAAACATTATCAAACACCCTAAAACAGCTACTAAATGAACCTTACTGGTGAAACTGTTTTCTTAACCATAAACATGCTGTTTCATTAGATCATTAACAAGTGCTGATAATCGACATTCAAACATTTACCATCAGCTATTGCTTTAGCTGTCCTTTTCACATGAGGGTTTTGTATGTCAAATGAATGTATAGTTGTGGGCTGTTATATTCATCAAAGCATTTCAACCCATGAGTAAAATCACAAGTTAGTGAAGCTTGGACAGCAGAGAGAATTACAAGTGTTTGAATTTTTTTCAGTAGCTCTGTATAACAGACCAAATATGAATCTGTCATCCCAAAATGGGAATGCGCGTATCCGTGAATTAAGATCTAAGTTATGCGCTTTTTGTACTCTTTCAGTGGGCAATCTGTGAGTTGATTAATATGCATCTTGCCATAGATCGGTAATTCAAAGTTAGGCTACAGGCAAATGTGCTCCTCTGCTTAGTTTCCTCTCCCAAGTGTGATGTAAGTTCAATGTGGCCGCCAAAGTCCACAGGAGCTTATTACTCTTAAGTTAAATGGGCCTGAAACTGTCTATACTCTGTACTCTACAGTGTGTGTGTGTGTGAGCATGTAAGTGAGCAAGTGTCAGTTCCCATGGCTTAGCTCCAAACCTTTGAGTTCAGGTTGGCCTGTGATCATCTAATCCACTCTCGCTTCTCAATCCAAGCTAAATGTTACACATCACCTTACCTCTTTCACCTTAGACTCACTTTCACAACCATTTGAAGATCAGTGGCAGAAAGAAAACAACTCCTCCATCCCTTAGCTGTGACCATTTTTATATTAATGTTTTTAAGCTGGACTTCAAATCCACCAAAGATGTGCTGAAAAGGGGGAAAGCTCTTTCCTGGCATCTCACACGTGCACCTGAGTGCTCCCCAGTATAGCCACAGTCTGTCCCACTGGAGCAACATGCACAGTTGCAATCCAATATGAAAATAGAGAAGCCGTACATGCTCCGTTTACATTTGGAGCTTCATTTTCTACCAAAGCTATAATGTCACATAAATCACAATGGATTATAAATTGCCTCAGCCCCTTTTAAAATGTTTTTAACTAAATAGCTTTGAGCTACAAGGTGAATCCTTTTTTTATTCTTCTTCTTCAGTCAAACTTACGGCCGACTCAGCTGTGCCAGGATCATTCATTTCTTCTGTCTCCTTTTTTTTTGACATCTTATAACACCTCCTCCTCCTCCCTGTTTTTTTAATCTTTCTTTCTCTAGTTTATCCTCCCATCGCTGCCACCTCTTTTATGCTCAGTCCACGACTTCCTTCTCCCCCTCTCATAATTTCCCCCTTTTCTCTATCTTTCTATCCTTTTTCTCTTTTCTCTATCATTCTTTATTTTCATTTATTCTACTCTTCAGCTGCAGCGCTTCCCATCGTCATTCTATCCTCTTCGCTTTCTCCAAAAGTTTTCAGTCTCCAACTTATTCCAATTAGTCACCTCCCTAAATTCCCTCCCTCCCTCTTTTACAGTGTTTCCCTCTCTACTCTCCCTTCTATCCTTCCATCCCTCCCTCCATTAGACAAGGTGACTCCTGCAGTAAAAGGCTGCAGCCCTCCATTATACCACGGAGTAAAAAAACCTTCATGACATTCTGTCCCTGGTGGACACAGCATTGATTTTCTCATGTCTCTCTCTCCCGCTCTCACTATGTAGCCAGCTCTCCCTTGCTCTCACCCTATCCTCTGCCTCTTTCAATCTCAGTCCATGTCTTC